TCAGGCCTTTTGTTTTCTTTTTCTTTCCTCACAGATAGAGTTGAGCTAGGCCCTATTTTCTTGTACTTTGTTTATTTTGTTCGGCACAACCCCCACAGTTCCTTCTTCCCCTAAATTTTTCAAACCTACGTTTGTTGTTTGCCTTCATTTAAATATTGTAAATAAAGCTTTTTTCTTTAACTGCCTCACGGTTGTCAGCGTTATTGTTTCTGCAAAAAGGGAAACGTAACACCAATGAAATCCTACATGAAGTTTATAGAAACAGGAATAATGTTTGACAGTCTGAATGAAAGATTGCACTGTAATAGATTACTTCATGTAATGCGAAGCTTCATGAAAAGAAAAAAGAAAAAGCTCTGAAACTCTTTACTCCACCTGGCCTGACAAAATAAGCAGGAAGAAAGGTTCAGGAAATTATTTAATTTACTCTGACCTTCAAGTTTATAGTATCCATAATTTATATTGTCATTTTGAGTCGCACTGTAACTGGATGAAAACATTGTTCATTTTCCTCCTCATCCTCGGATGATAAAGGCAGTTCATTGACTTGATTTGATGTCTGTCTCGTTCTGGGCCTACAAGTTAATTTTGGCTGAACTATTTCCTCTTCCGGTTCGGAGAGAAACCCACATGGCAATAGACGGTCATGGCGTAAGGGACCATCTTGGCCTTCAGGGCACACTGTATAGACAGGTAAGTCTCCAGCCCTCTTCTGCACTTCATAAACTGTCGGTTCCCATCGATCAGCTAATTTGTGCTTGTTGAGAAGGCAGAGATTTCGCACAAGGACTCTGTCTCTTGTTTCAAGTGTGGCCTCTCTCACTCTGGCATCAAATCTTTTCTTGTTTTTGTCAGCTACGTTCTTTTGAGTTTTCCATAGCAAGCTGGTAGCTTTCCTTCAAGTGACTCTTTAGATTTTTCACATATTACGAATGTGAAGTAGACGAACTGTCTCTAACTGGTCACCCAAACTCGATGTCAATGGGCAACTGGTTTGGCGTCCGAACATGAGTTCGTAGGGTGAAAACCCTGTGAAATCGTTCTTCGTACAATTGTATGCATGCGTAAGGGGTTTTACATGTTCACGCCACCTTGTCTTCACCTTAACCTGCAGAGTTCCCAGCATGCTTACCAATGTACGATTAAAGTGTTCTACTGGGTTTCCCCTAGGATGGTACGGACTTGTTCTTACTTTACGAATGCCGTCTAAAGCACAGAACTCTTTAATGGTCTGCGACTCAAAATCATGTCCCTGGTCGCTGTGGAGGCGTTCTGGGAACTCATAATGGCTGAGGAACTGCTCCCACAAACATTTGGCGAACTGTGCTGGCTTTCTGATCCTTTGTTGGTATAGCAACAGCATATTTCGTAAAGTGATCCGTTATAATTAGGATGTCTTTGGTGTTATGACTATCCGGTTCTAATGACAAAAAAGTCCACACGAACCAGTTCCAAAGGCCTGCTGGTTTGGATATTAACAAGGGCAGCAGCCTTTTCTGGCTGACTTTTTCTCCTTACACATCTCTCACACTGTTTGATTTTTGTCTCAATATCAAATGCCGTCCTTGGCCAATAGAACCTGGACCTGGGGAGCTCAAGGGTACGTTCAACTCCCATGTGCCCCATTTCGTCGTGAAGACTGGTGAGCATGGATGGCTTTAGTACATTCAGTAGGACGAGCTGACATGATAATATGCCATCCCTCAGTTCAAGACGGTTTATCTCTCTGGAAATCAGACGACTTTCAGGTGATTCCAACCTTAGACTGGCAGGTGCAAGTTCTCCTGACTCAATCAGCTCAATGACTTGGCCGATAACAGAGTCTGTTCTTTGCAGTTTGGCTAGTTCATCTTTACTGTACCTGGGAACTGTGAGCAGACCCTCTTGGACTTCCTCCTCCTCAAACTCAGCAGGAATGGCCTCCAGGTAGATAGCGAGGGACTCTACGAGGCGAGGAGAGGGCAAGTCTTTCTCCACATATGTAATAGTGTGACTCTGACAGGCTGCTTTAACAGCCTCTGTGGGACAGAAGTTATTGCCCTCTGAGCTGAGATGGTGAGCAGTGAAGGTGTGAATCCTTTGGCTTTGCTCTTTAGACTGATTGTCGCTGACCAACTCACTGTGAGGCCTCCAGGACAAAGTGTCGGCATCTTGATTCTGCTTTCCGGCTAGCTATGTGATGTCAAATGTAAAAGTGGATAACTCAACTAACCAGCTTGGCAGTAGTGAGTATATACCTCACCGGGTTGTTATCTGTGACTACTGTAATGGCGTTGCCATAGAGGTAGTCGTGGAATTTGTCAGTGATAGCCCACTTGAGGACTAAAAATTTCAACTTGTGTGCCGGGTATTTAGCCTCACTGCACGAGCAGCGGGGGGTAAAAGGCTGTCAACCATTTTTCAACTCAACAATGGCATGATCATTAAATTCTGACAGTACATCGTCAATATCTATTGTGCGACTTATTTTTCTATACTGTTTGAGATAGTCGCTGATTTCATCTTCTGTAGGAGTACCAGACAACCCACTGACTAGAAGGGAGTTAGGAACTTTAATACTCTCCCTCTCAACAATCTCCATTTCAAAAGGTCTACCAAGAATCAGGATTAGGGCTATATAGTTCCAAGTATATTCTTTTTTTTGCAATCAAATGTGATGTTCATGTATGGCTATAGTGGCCATTCACAGAGCTCCTGGCTGGCTCGCCAAGTTTTATCCTTGTAACCCACTTATAGTAGATACATTGAATGGCTAGGTTTCGGAAAGAGCTCAATTACCATAGACCTGAACAGCCGAACAATGAACAACACAAACCACGAAGTACATTGCAAAAGTAAACTCTTTAGTGAGTAATGTATAACAAAAGTTTACAACATTTATATAACAACGATATTTCCTTAGTACCAGTACTGTTTTGTTTGCGTTCCTTCCAAATGTTCCTCGAATAGGGTGATTAGAGTCACATGCTAACTCTTTTGGGTGTGTAGCAATCCCGCCAACCAGGTTGGCCCTACCACCAATTGGAGTTAGTGACGAAGAGTTAATCCAGCTCCTTAGGATTTTTGGGAGGCTCACCATCTATGAATCACAGAAGGATTCCAAATCACTCCATCCAGGGCTCTGGATCCTCTCAAACAGACTGGATGTTCCTATGGAGACTAGGGGTCTCCAAAAGACCTGTCCAATGCGCTTTTTTTCCAGTGCTGAGCACCGTCGGCGACTCTCAGCTCTCACAAGATGAAAGATGGTTCGCCTGTGTAACCGCTTGAGCACAGTGCTAAACGCTTTTTGTACAGTGGATTGCTGCCGTCTTGCTGGCGTGGCTGGAGTCAAAAGGAAGTGAAAAAGTACTGCGTACCAACTTGCCTCCAACACAATAAGCCAAACGTGCACGCTAATTGGTTGCTAAAAGGCTACCTGCATTTCGTTTGGTTAGATGCGGTGAACCTGAGTGCTGCCTTCAATTGCAACTCATAAAAACATGTTGCTTTCAAGTGCAACTCACAAAAACATTAAAGATATTTTAACACATTAAACGACTAATAAAACCACAATTTCCTTCTCAGGTTAAGGTTTAGTTAACCAAGTTTTACACCTGGGTTACACCAAGTTCATACCACACTACAGGGATGTTCAACTTAAATAGCAAGTAAGCCACATAGTAAAATCACTGGGTGTTCGTAGGACACACGGATTAATACCTGCGATTCTTCCTTTTTTTATTGTAAATAAATCTGTTTATTGGCGAGTGGCAAACAACATCACGGTGCATGGATGATTCCAAGGACCCAGCACAGACGGGCCCTCAGAAAACTAGTGCAAACCTCTGCCACAATCCCACACATGATAGGCTGGTTCATATAGTAGAAATATTTTTTTTTTTATTTTTTTTTTACAAATAAATAAACATTCACAGGTGAAAACATAACTTCAAATAATAACAATGAGAGAGAGGTTGCCATGTTTACCTATAAATTAAAAAAGATCAAAGTATTAAATGATCATAGTCACAAAACTTTGAAGTAAAGACAGAGGTTAATCTGTCCCAGCATTTCAGTCTTTGTTCTGGAAACTACAAGTCACTTTGTGAATTTGTCTTCATTTTGACAACATAATTTGAGGATTTGTCTTCATTTAATTCAACAATTTGAGGATTTGTCTTCATTTAATTCAACAATTTGACGATTTGTCTTCATTTTAACACCAAAATTTGAGGAAACATGTCTGCCATGCTACCTGCAAAGGCCAACCAGTTGGTTCAAAAGAGCCTGCTTACCTCCAAATACAAGGTGCAGTCAGATCTCGGCAAGGGAGCTTTTGGACAAGTCGTAAGGTGCATGAGACTGGAAGACAAGAAGACCGTGGCCGTCAAAATGATTAAACTGCGCGACAACACTGCAACTGTGGCATATAATGAGGTAAGAAACAAAACTGTGTGCTTCTAATAATAATAATAATATGTATGCGAGGACAATACAGAAGAGAAAAGAAAAAAGTAACAACACAAAACAGGACTAAGTGAAGAGCTGGAGCTTGAGGAGTGTTTTTTTCAAGATTTCGAGAGATTCAGCGTTGTGTATTTCCGCGGGGAGAGAGTTCCAGAGGGCTGCGACACAGGTTGAATTAAACCATCCTGCATCACGATTAACTTCCCTAATTAAGAGTTGTGATAACTATGCTATCCAGCTATGTTGTATTGACTTAACGACCTCGTTTCCACCGACGCTGGACAAACAGCTCAGTTCACAGCGCGAGGAGAGATCTTTATTTACTTTCGGTTTCTGACACCTTAGCTAACAACATGTACTGCCTTGTTTAAGTTTACATGTGTAACGCTGATAAACAATCTTTGTGTCACCTGCTATGTTCCCCCAGGTGGCTACTATGAGGAAACTTAGATCGCTTGACCCAAACAACAGCATTGTTCAGTGGAACCACCACTTCCTTGACAGAGGACACCTTTGCCTCGAGTTTGAGTGCCTGGACAAAAGTCTTATGGATTTTATGAAGGAACGGAATTTCAAACCTTTCCTTCTGAAAGAGATAAGACCAGTTGTGCAGCAGGTATGTCCACCTGTTTTCCTCTCTGCACTAACAAACAGTATGAACATATATACAGGTGGAACATAGTTATGACATTTTTATGAAATGGACTTTTCAGATTGCCCATGCTCTCAAACACTTGAAGGCTGCAGGGATTGTCCATGCAGACCTCAAGTTGGACAACGTCATGCTGGTAAATCAGCTGCGGGAGCCCTTCAGGGTCAAAGTCATCGACTTTGGGCTAGCACGTGAGCCGTCAGATGCCAAGTTGAAGGCATATATTCAGACCCTTTCATACCGGTGAGTACCTGAACAATCCTGTCTTTATCCATTCACATAAATGTCTTTGTGAGGTGTTTCTATTTGTGTAGCAGTAAGAGTTATTGAGGTTTACTTCAAAACATCACAAATATTTGTCATGGTTTATGTGATCATGGTTGTTGTTACTCTGTCAGATCTCCAGAGATCTTGCTGGGGCATCCCTTCACCGAGGCCATAGACATGTGGTCCCTTGGCTGCATGGCTGCTGCTATGTACCTCGGGACCCTGCTCTACCCTGGTTTGGGTGAATATGAAATGGTAAACATACTACTTGAAGTGCACTGTTTTCTGTTCTATAGAAATAAATCAGTAGTAGTTCACCTGGACTCTAAGTTGTGTTGTATTTTCAGATCAAGTTCATCACTAGCACACAAGGTCAGTTACCTCAAGCYATGATGAACCGTGGACGTAAGACTCCTACATTTTTCAAATATGAAGTCRGCTTCACCAACTCCTTCTGGAAACTCAAGGTGCCGACCTAAAACAGCTTGTTATATTCAAATATGTCTATATACTTGCTGTAACATATTTGGTTCCCTCTATACATTTGCRCAAGTCTGATGTACTCTGCTAACAACAACACTTTTTGAACAGACACCAGAGTTGTACCACAAGGAGACGGGGAAGCAACCAGTGGAGAATAGGAGTTTAAAGTTCACCTCCCTGGATCACATTGTGGATGTATGTCTTCTTTCGATCATTCATCATGAGCTTATTTCTTTAACACGTCCAAGAGAGGTTTTTTCATTCACCACTGGAGCTAACTGATGACATGTTTGTTTTTTAGGTCCGACCCATCAACACTTGCAACCCTGCAAATAGAGCAGCAGAGATGTCCGACGTCCACATGTTTGTGGACATGCTGAAGGCGATGCTACAGCTTGATCCCAAAACACGGATCACACCCCATCAGCTGCTGGAGCACAAGTTCATCAGCATGCGCCACATCGCCAGCATGGACCAACAAAGCAACTAGTAAGTCATCAATGTGATCTGGTTAAATGTTTTTAAATGTATGATATATATATATATTCCACTTGTACCTTTGTTTCTGTGGATACAGTTCATGTACAGGTCCTTAAAATAAGTCTTATTCATCTTCACTATCTCACACACATGATAAACCTAGCTAATGAAAGGATTCATTTTCTTGCAGTGTCAGGTCCAGTTTCCAAATGATGGAACTCTGTCAGAAGAACATCCAGACTTCTGCCAGCAGCAAAGCTGTGTGTGGGCCACTGATGCCTCCCCGGCCCAGTGCTACATCTCATGCTGAGTGGAGAAAAAATTACCAGCCCCACCACAACAGCCTACTTTCCTGCACAACCACCCAGTCCAGTGGAATTGAATTGCAGAGAAAGAGGAAAATTAACCATGATGATGTGCTGCCTCCCAAGAAAATCTGTCTCGACCGATCAAATGCTGAATCCAGCACCAGCAGAAAATACTCTGACACTCATCAGTCTGATCAGAGGGCCAGGCCTGCTGATCACCACCACCACCACAACGCAGGTCCATCAGGCAGAACCCGGACTGAGGGTCAGGTTCAGTCT